CAACATCAACAGCAAGAGCACAACATCATGATGGTAGAGCCGGGGTGGGATCTGGTATGACTTATAGCCACACTCATTCACCCACACAGCTCAGCTTCTGTTCGCTCTGTCCAATTGTTAATAAAGCCCACGTTTGTTTGCCTTAACGCCGTACAGTTTAACCCCTCGCACCGCCCCTGAGTTAGCCTCAGGTTAGCAGCCTCATATTAAACTTGGCCTGCGGTTGTCAATAAAAAGTGCTCCGAACTTGGTCTGATTAAGAGCTGGGCAAACAAATCAGTTCCTGCTGACGTCTTGTTTACTTAGCCAGTGTCTAAACAGCTCTCTCGACTGTATTTTAAACTGTTTGCGATATGTATCTGAAGGACCGCTACCCCAGCTATCATGTGGCTCAGCCTTGTAATTAACATTTCAATTTTGTGCTCTTATTTACGTATTGTACCCGCCCCCTTCAAGCATCCAACATCATCAGGCAAATGTATCTCTTCTGCTTCAGCTATGCTCTGGACCCTCTCCTGCTTAGAAATTGCTTCGGCAATAAATAAATTGTTTTTCAGGGCGATTCCTGCTCCCGTTCTCTTTTTCTTTTTTTTTTTTGTTGACATATGCAAATTTTTGTTGCCTGCACGCGTACAACAAAGTTTTTTGATTGCTTTTAAGCGCTACACTCGCTATCTGGGGTAGTACCAGGAGGTATAGGCCAGGCTATTTGCCAGCTTGTAGGTAGTTCAATAAGCTGTGATTGTTTACTCTTTGCTGGTTTTATTACTTGTTTGCCAGCCTGAGTATCAACTAAAAGCAGATGGATCGTATTTATGCAAATTTAGAGACGAGCAGAATCTATAAGAACTAAAACTATATGACTATACCATATATATAATGGAACCCATGACTCTCATCAAGAGCAAATATAATTCATTTACGACCAGGTATACGAAGAGCCGAATAAGCAATATTTTGTATTAATACGGCTAGTTATAATAATAAGAAGGTTGTCCGTATAGATAATTGATGAACCACCCGGTTCTTTCCGTATATCAATTAGCAAATGCCTTGTTCCAACTCGAAACTTTAACTTTTCGAGAATTACAAGCAATAAATATCTCAAGAAGAACTAGAACTAGAAGGGCCACATTTTTTCTTCTTAAATGGAGCCCTAGAGCCCTAATGAAACATGGATAATCAAAGATTTTTGTGGACACAACAACTTAAATAGATTAACTACATTTAATGAAGTTTCAAATTTGTGAATCTTAGGAACGCATTTTAAGGAACAGTTTTTTAATCTAATTAACTAGTTTGGATGAACTTTAAGTAATTCACTTTTTCAATAAAAAACTTAATTTTAAATATATTTAAATATTTTTTTTAAGTACATTTATTTCATAAGCATACATTCATTAATTTAATATTTATTGTATTAAAATCACGTTTCTTGTTTAATATGATATAATCAGCTTATCATAGTTATTAGATCGATATGAATTGATATGATGTTGCTATGATATTCTTTAGGTTCAAATATGTAACGAAAAACTAGCAATACACAGTTCTCGAGTGTGCCAAGTGGCTGGAAAAGCGGCAGACCTTGGGATCTGAGAGATCCATAGCCCGTTTACGGCATCCTTTGATATCGGCGATACGAAGCGAGCTCAACACTCCAAGCATCTGGCAGCTGCAGCTGTCCGCTGGACTTCTTGGATTGGCATCTTCTCCAGCCACGGCCCGTACTGGAGCTCCGTCGGCAAAGCTGTTGCCAGAACGCGCGCCCGTTCCAAGCCATCGTCTCTGGTCTGTCTACCTCCCCCCGTGGTGGTTGTGGTTTGTGTGTGGCGCCAGTCGCACAGCCTGTGCTTTTATAGCTGCCGCCAACGCGTTCCGAGCTTTCTCTACCCCCCACACACACACACAGAGAACTTTCGTGTTGAGTTTCTCTGTGTTGAATTTTTGAGGGGGCGCACAAAAGGCAACAATTGTAGCTGCCTAATTGGGTGTACGAGTATATGGATATGTGAGGTTAGGTAAACAGTCTGTCTATATAAGGCCCCCAGCCAACTCACGGTGTGTGTGTGTGTGTGTGTGTACGACCTTACAAGGATACGCAATAGGAGGAGCTACAATTTAATTTAGCAATGGCTGCCCAAAAAATTTCGCTGTGCTCAGCCTTAAATACGAAAATTAATTTTAAATACCAAACTGAAATAATTCTCTGAAATATCTTCACTATATAATCCTTTGGCCTGCCTGCGCGCAAGTGATTAAAGCCATTAACGAAATTATCAGGGATTATAAAGATTTGTACACAATTTGATGCGCTGCCACGGCAAGGCTGCCCTACACGCCTCCCCACCATCCGACGAGCCGGCAGCAGAGACAATGCAATTTACCGTAATCCAGGGGCTTCAATTAATGGAGTGTCGACGTCGTCGCACCCGAAAGGGGTTGTTGCTGCGGCAACCTGCCTGCCTGTCTGCCTGCTTGCCACAAAGGACGTGCGACGTGGCTGCGCACAATGAAACACTGAAGCCCGTTCCCGTTTCCGTAACCCCTTTTCTAACTGCCCCACCCCTGTTTCAGAGCCCGCGCTTAAAAACCGTATAGTTGATAAGACAATGAAATGCATTAGGCTCGCCGTTGCGTCATCTTGGGAGAAGTGGCAACGTCTTTCCTCTAAGGGTTCATCGAGTTTGTGAGTAGTTTGTTTTTTTCAGTGCAGTTTTGACCAAAAAACTTGACGTCAGTTCTAAAATATTTGTGTTGCATACTTTGTGGCACGCGGCACGTTCAACAACTAGAACTGGGCATGATACAATGTATGCCCAGTTCCCTAACTCAACTGTCAACATTTATTGTGAGAAATGAGAGAATTTCAATCTAGTGAACTGCCCATACAAAAAAGCTCAAGGGCTGTGAGAATTGGGAAAAATGCCAACTGCAAATGATGTTAAGTGAAGAATATAATTTATCAGCGAATATATGTAACTGAGTGTGAGTAGCTACATGTTCGAGTTAAAGTTCATGTGAGTTGACAAAAAATCGGCATTAAAATGCTAGCTTTTAAGTGCAAAATGATTCGGTGTTGCCAGATGTGCAATAGTATTGCAAGATGGCAACACTCAAATTTACCATCATATCAAATATTTACAAGGCAGCTATGCAAACGGTTAATATGCACAAAAGGTAAGAAACTCATAAGAAATATTTTGAATTGAAGAATCTTTTAAATTTGAATAGATTTTCAACATTTGAATCTATATATAAAACTATTTGTAGACATAGGTCAAAATTTCCCACCCCCATAGCTCGGTCAAATCTTATCCGATTTACACGAGGGTTGGATCCTTACTCATGGTTTGACTCTAGATCAATTTGGCATCTAATTCTGGGAGCATTATTCTTGGTCAAATATCTTATTCTAAATTTCCCAACCGCATAGCTCGGTCTCTGTTTATGGCTTGGCCTCTGGATCAATTTGGCATATAAATCTAAGAATTTTATTCTTGCTCAAAATTCATGTCAAAGCTGTACCCCTTAATCTCTATATGCAACTGTTTGTCAACGCAATTTAAAATTTTCATTACCAAATGTGATGAAGGTGCACGTTAAGATGGGGTTTCGGGAAATTCCACCCGCATTTGTGGCAAATTCGCGAAAAACGGTTGCATGAAAGTTTTTTACTTACCATTCGGTTTCAAAAACATTTTCAAAGTTCTTTGTCAAAAGTCATTAGATAAGTGTTGCGCTATTTTTGGAAAATCCATACCTCCATGGTGTAAATGAAGACTAAGATTTGGTGAGTGACTTCTCGAGCTCAAATTCATTTCGAACGATCTATATGGAAAATCTTTTAAGGCGTGTTTCACATTTCTCACAATATCAAAACTTCCTCGGTAGAAATGCGATTCAAAGATTTTTTGTGCGAAGTTTTAAGTTTGCATAAGTATGCCTGCTTGTACATACATGTGTGCATGCTTGATTTATATGTGTGCAAACATGCGTGCATACGTACATGTATGAATGAATGTCCGGATACCTACATGCACACTCACATACGTACATACATACATGCATACATACATACACACATACATACATACATACATACATACATACATACATACATACATACATACATACATACATACATACATACATACATACATACATACATACATACATACATACATACATACATACATACATACATACATGCATACATACATACATACATACATACATACATACATACATACATACATACATACATACATACATACATATATACATACATATATACATACTTACATACATAGAAAAAACACAAAAAAAACACTACTATCTAAGCATGGAAACCTGCAGAGCCTACTTGAATTCTTGAGAATCGAGGAGAAGAGCACTTGGTAGAAACTCGTTTTATTTAAATTTGCAGCACTCCGACAAATAAGCTTGGTCTGCGTTTGACATTAGAAAACAAACATGCATGCGTACATATATTCATAAATGCATACACACACTAACACACACACGCCCACACACACACACACACACACACACACACACACACACACACACACACATACATACACATACAAACATATATAATATTTATATGCATCCGTACAAAACACATGTATTATTGTATACTTTGCTCCATATAAGCTCCATATTATAAGAATTTTATAGAATTTATACATTATTTATTGCTCTCTGTTCATGGCTTGGAATCTACAATAATTTGGCATCTAAATATTATTCTTAATTTTGGGATTTGCCCGAATTTCTCCAAACTTATTTCGAAAGCTCTACATAAGAACTTAATGAATGCATGTTACAGCGATTTGGGAAATTTCGCCCGCAACAGTGTTAAATTTGCTTACCGTCAGATCGGTTTCAAACTTATTTTTAAAAATCTTCGAGAGAATTTATGTGCCTCGAGCAAGGCAGGGGTATAGCCGCTAGTACTACTCATATATTCCTACTAAACACTTGAGTTTGCTTTACTTGTCAAGGCAAAACTCTACGAAACGTATAACAAAATATGTATACAAAACACATCTAAACAGCAAATACAAAACTACGACACTTTTCATTACGCCAAGAATATTTTAATAAAGAAAAATCTGATCTTTGAACAGAAATGGAGGAAGCCGTAGAAACCGTAGCTGAAGTACCTTCTACAGAGAAGGCTGCCGCATCGGCAGAGAATATTACAATAGAATTAATCGATACTCCTATTATTGAACCAGAAGATAGCCAAAATGACATACTGCCTATAGATGATGAGGCACGGAAATCACTCGAGGAACAGACCATTGAGGCGGGTGCCGAAGGTGACTCGCAGCTCAGCGAGGAAGCTCTTGCCGAATTGGAGAAAAAGAAAAGGAAAAAAAGACGCGAAGAGAAGCGCCTGGCGCACGAACGATTGAGACTGCATTACCAAGATGAGACTGAAGGGCCTGCGAAGCCTGCAGAGTCTGCAGAGCCTGAAGAGTCGGATGAGCCTAAAGGGATGACGCGACTGCACAGATCCATAAGTAGAATATCCCTTAAAGAACAAACATCTATAGAAATAGACGAAGATGGCGAAATGCGAACTTCAGCATTACTATCTGAGGATAGGGACAAACAGGCTATGGATGAGCTCAATTCGGGCGAGCCATCATCATCGGACGAAGACGATTATGGGCGGCGTGCGGTTTCCGTGTCATTTAAAGGTGAATTCTTGCAAAATTTCTTTTTCCCAAGCCTATCGGATATTACGACCGAATCAAGCGAAGAATTATTGTCGTTTCGTCGTAAACTTACGGGAGATAGGGATACGTCTGCTGTCGATGAAGGCCAATTTGTTGATCCACTGACTGGCGAACCGATACTGGAGCCCATTCAACCAGAACCAGAAGAGGTCGCTGAAGAAGCAGAAGAGGAATCAGTAGAAGAATCGTCATCGTCAACCATCTCCTTTGATTGGCCCTTTCCCTTAGGAGACGAAGAAGCGGCCCCGCCCGAAGCAGATGCTACCGAATATGCTATGGAAATGTTAATGGAGATACGTACACCCATTCGGGCTACAAGTGCCGCGTCGACAACAGCGCTAGAGGCTCAGCGCCAGGAACGCGAGAATCGACAAGTTTGCATAGATTTTCTCTACTCAGCTATCGACGAGGCTGTCGATGCCGCCGAGTATGTTGATCCCGATTTAGTACTCGAAGGCAGATTGGATAAACGGAAATTAATCAAGGATCTGCATCAAATCATTTCGGAATACATGGCCGCCAAGCAATATAATACTGATCTATCGAACAAAATGCACGATTATTATCGTCGCGTTGGTCAATTGCGTGGCTTTGATAAGTTGCCCCCGGAGGTGGTGAAAGACGAATTTCGGCGACAGAGGCACGCATTGTATCTGCTGGATCATTTTAAGCAGAAAGCTGTTGAAACGAAGAGAATTAATAATTTGCTTTTGGCCAGCGTGGGAATGGATCTGAATCATGTGCGCAACATAGCGTTGTCATCGAACGATTCACTGGAATACTGCATTCGTAATACCCTGGCGCGCAAGGATCTACAGGTTTTGCCTCGCATTGTGGAGCAAGAGCTGCGACACATGCAAATCATGCGCAATGACATTAGCGATAATCGCCTCTGGCTCATAACCAGGAAACACACGCTGGGCAGAGTGATCGAGGTGCGTCTTCAACTTTCATTCAACTCCCACAAATTGATGACAACTGTAGGGTATAATGAGACTGTTCAACCCTGGCTGAATCTTCCTGTCTGTCCGTCCTATCGTCCATCCCATCGTCGATGCCTCGTTTTGTGAATCGATTCTCAAGTCCGATTTAATGAGCATATAACCTTGAAACATCCCTGCCCTTTATTCTCTGCAGCAATTTGAATGCCATTTTTAGGCCCTCGTTTCGATCATACAATGAGAATACATTTTTTATTTGTCGTCCATTCGTGAGCCATTTCAAAATAATCGGACACTTTTGATACATTTGATTTCCTTCTTAGCGCAAACGGAACTTTGATCAAATCACACCAGACTTGACCATGGATGAATTTTTGAATGCACAACGCGATGTAATAGCCCTGGGCACAAAGGTTGAAGGTAATTAAAGGAAGTTATCAAAACTATTAAACATACTCTCACCTAACCCAAAATCGTTAATACAGAACGCAGTTATGATTTGAACCGAATGCGTGATCGTTGTACCAAGCACGTGCATCAGTTGGCCTTTATAAGGGAAAAGACGAGCATGATATCGGCCACGTTAGTCAATTACAAATCCCAATTGCGCCGCATGGTCAGGAGACAAAACGAAATGCGTGACAAGCTGTTCAAGGCGAAGCTGCAGCATACCCGCCTAGTGGCCCAGACTAGGGAGCTGCATGCGAAATGTGGCTTGCTCTATAAGCCAGCACTGTTGCATGATTTTGATGAGACCGTGGACGCAGTCGAAATCAAACGGCAGAAAGTCAAGCAAAATAGGACTATCGTTAGGGAACTGGAGGCACGCATTGCCAAATTCGAGGGACTGGCACGTTCCTCTAACAGGAATAACATTGAAAAAGGTTCGAAATTTTTTCGCTGAGGAACCATCCTCAGTACTACCATTTTTATAGACTTATAGTTTTATACGAGCTCTAGAGTCTACATCTTCTATAATTAATATAAATACAACAAAACCCAATAAAATCTTAAACTTGGCGTTTCTTTTCTGGGCATTGGGTAAAACCCTCCCCAATTGCCACCCACTTGCAAGTTTCAGCTCCATAGCAACCATTTTCATATTTATTTCTTCTTTTTTTCTCCTCCCAATATTGCACGACTTCATGACGCTAAATTAACTGCCAGACATTTCTATTAGCTCTTCTTCATGAATGCCAAGCCAATCTACTCTTAATATATGCATGATGCTGTCCGCCTGATAACACTTGAAGTATGCCAGGGGCGGGGCTGAGCAGGGGTCACGTTGCTGCGACAACGTCCCCTCTCTTATCAATGCGGGCACGTGGTAAACTTTCTGTCTAAATGAATTTAATGAAATGGAAATGTGCAGTCATGAGTCTAGAGATGACTGCAGCTGACTGTACCTGCTAGGACAATTGAGGAGTAGAAATTTCGAGCTGATTCTAATACTAAACGCTTCCGGAGCTACAGATAAAATACTCGTGATACAAATTTAAGTATCAAAAATCATTATATTCGAAAACTAGAAAACCTCAGCTTAATTCGACATGACGAAGACTAAATACCCTTGCACCCAAAATGGCTGAGAAGAGATTTTATTAGAAAATGTTCATATAGAGACAATAATTTATAGCCAGCAGTCCGAAGCGGAAGTCGGAACATTTGTGAAGCTTCTGTTCTTTTATTGCTGGACAAGATATCTTGTTAAACCAAATATTTTTCCATGCAAAAATAAATTTCAAATATTTACAAAGTTAAATAGAAACCAATTATATAAAAGTATCTATAGTATCGGGAAAGACAAAGGGTTAATGCTCTAGGTGGACCAAGACATGTAGACTGCAAAGTCTGAGGTTCTCAACACAAAATCCCCTTTAACATCTTATAGACTCGATTTCACAGGGTCACTCATTTGGAGTATTACACCCGTAAGAAACTTTCTGTTGCATACAACAAGGCGCCGGCAAATGCAACAGCAGCAGCAAGAATATGTCCTGGACTCGAGCTGACTTCTAGGCGTCCTCGCTGCCTGCCGCCTGCTCCCCAAGTAACTTTTTACACATGAGCGCACACGGAATACCCCTAAGACAGCCCCATTCGGGGTGTTCCGCCCGTTGTTGTAAATCACAGAGTGAAACCGAAACCGTTAACGTGTTGCGGTTACGCTGCTGACTTTGCTGTGGCAAAAAGGAAAAAAAATAAATAAAAAACGAGGCGAGTCATTCCATTTGGGCTTTATTAAATGCGCCAGCGGGCGGGGGCAGGCCCGAAGGAGGGTTAGCTGTGGAAGAGTGTGTGCGTGCGCGTGTGTGTGTGCGTGTGTGTACAAAGCAGGGCAACGTCCTGTCTCACATCTTTCTATTGCGAATTTCAGTTTTTTTCTAGCTGTTTTGCTTTTTATACTTGTTCAAAAAGTAAAAAAGAGTATATTCGTTTTGTTCGCATTAAAGAATTTCTTTTTTTTTTTTTTGTTACGACTTGAAACTACGTGCTCTAGTTCCTGGGCAAAAGACTAAAATCTATATTTACCACAATTTTAAAGCTATTGGAATGAAGTCTACTGATGAGTTCTTCTGAAAAACTTTTGGTGCCCCCTGGTACATGCGAACTTCCGATTTGCAAAGAGACCTAGGAGTGCCCAAAATCGGGGACGTCATAAATATACAGGCTGTGCGCCTTCTAAGTAGACGTAGAATTAGAGGAGTCTGGATGCGGAGGAGATTGCGGAGGTTTCCTCCAATCGATCTCACAGACCGGCTTTTATAATCACAAGCCTGGCAGATAGCACAATTTGAGCTGTTGCTGGACTGTGAACAGGCATAACGCAGTCGTTTACAGCCGACTGCAATATGCTTACTTGTTTTTTTTTTTTTTTTTTGAGTTTATCAAACTTCTTACATTTATTTTGTTGTAAAATGGGTGCAAACACACACACACACACACACATGCACACATAGGCAAACTTTGTGATTTAATGATTGCTTTTGAGTGCCGAATCTACGGAGCTGCGCCAGGCAAGTCGGTTTGCTGCTCCAGTTTCGCATTTCAACTCAAGACATACGAAATTGTTTCAATTTCTTTTCAGTGTCAGTTTTTTTACACTCTAATAGAGGGCATAACCATTCTGTCATGAAATGTGTAACGCATAAAAAACAGATAAAAAAAGATATATATTCTTGAAGAGTGTTAACAGCTGAATCGATATAGTCTGCATGTCTGTTTCTTGATAAACTAGGCGCTCAGTTGGGAATTATCCGAATCGGACCACTATGTCATTTATCGAAAATTAAGTTTTTGCTTAATAGACCTTTTTATCTAGAGCTGGTTATTACGAGCTTTACAATACTCCATTTAAATGGAAAATCTTCTCATAATTAGGTCGTTTTTCAAAATATCTTGAACAAACTTTACAATCTTGAGCCTCAAAATGTATCTAAGCTATTGGCCAGACCATATCAAATCGGACAAGTATATTATCTGGCTCCAATGGCAACAAGCGAACGAGAATTTAACAAAGAAATAAACCACTTCTATGCCATGTGATCCAAAGGATATTTAATCTTCGACGTTACAAAGATGGGCGTTTTTTTCCTGTTTCTTTTGCCGCCTGGGCAAAGATTTGTCAATTCCTTGACACAATGATGCATAACGTTATCTGAGATTTCAGACAGAGAGAGAAGGAGAGAGAGAGATAGAGAGAGAAAACAACAACAACAGCTTTTGCGAATTAATCTTCTTAATGTTTGTGCCTTTGGTTTTGGGTTTTCCAGCAACCATTTTCCAGGCACTAAGTAGAGCGCTTAGGTTTTTCAAATCACATAATGCGATTGTTGATTGTTGTTAAGTAGCCTTAAAGTGAGGCGGAGTAAGAGCTGTACTGCACAGTCGAATATGTCTTTGGCACTAATTGCTGCACTTGCCGCATGTTGCATGCCCCACGGCTAGTGGCTGGCCCCGTTGGCCATGGCTGGTAGCCATGGGCACGCATAATCATATCAGCTTCCACACGATTTAACAGCGACGCAATTGAGTTGCGTTCGCATAGCAACTGCTGCTCCATCTCCAGCTCCTTTGTGTATCCTTGGCCATTGCACTTGGCTCTGTCTGACTGACTTTTCCACACAGTTTCCATCTTTTCTTATTTTCACTCAACACTTTTTTGGCTTCGCATCGATTGCATGACAAATTGCGCAATTGCTTGCTAAAAGCATTGAAAAAGCATTCGACAAATATGGGTTTTGTATTGTACCTACAAATTGCAGAGAATCGCCCGCTCTCTCTTCCTCCCACCCAATATCTATCTCTCTCTCTATTCTGTTATCCTGTGGTGCTTCCTGCTGCCATGACACTTAAACTGCGATAAAAATTCCGTTCGATAAGCATTTTGTTTATACTGTGGCATGAGCTCTGCTCAGATGGGGGCTCAGATATAAGCTGTTGTTGCCCCGCAAACAAGTTGAATGTTATAATCGATGCTGGGGATGTATGGTAGTCTATGACTCTGGAAATAGAAAGGAATTCGAAATTTTAGTACTATTTTTTTATATATGTATTATGTAGATGGAATACATATGTTTTTGTTAAATAAATTAACAAAAATTATATAAATTCCAAAAGAAAGTCTAATATCTATGCAATAGATTGATAAAGAACATTTAAGTTCATACCAAATTTTACTGTAATATTTGGCAAGCTTTAAGGAACCCTATATAAATGTTAGATATAAAATACCATATAACTTACTATAGTATAGATTGGCTTAATATAGACTGGCTTAAAACTCGTAAGATTGCATTGTTTAACCAGGTTCAGACAAGGAGAAATAATAAATTAAATCAATGAAATAAAAAAGTATTTCAAAGTAAGCAAAGAAAATTTGTTCATACCAGAACTTAATTTTTGAGAGACCATTAATATGGCAGAGATCTTTAATATGTGATATAGTGATCCAATCCGGCCGATTTCGACACACACGTCCAACCTCTACCTCTTGACAAAAATATTAGGAGTATAATAAAATCTGGTGTATTTTTGGACTGCTGAAAATGTTTATTGTTAGCCGAACATAGTCTTAGTTAAAGGAGGTCCTTGTCTGAATGCCCTTTGCCAGCTCGCTATGAAAATAATTCTAAAATAAAACAAAAATGAAAAAGAGCTATGGAAGACAATGGTATATAGTAACGTTGATTTGCAGATGCTGTACCATTTTATGCCTGCCTCCAGTTATGATTGTTGTTTTTGCGAATTTCAATGCCATTTTTGTTGCTAGCCAAACCAAAGACTCCGCGTTCAACCAGCCAGGCAGACAGGCGCAGTCATAATACTCATTATGAACGGCTTAAGCGATTTCCCCAGGGTGCGCACTAAGCCTCTTCACAGTGATTGAGACGCCCATACACCCACTTACACACACACGCACACACACGCACACCCACTCACACACACACACACACATATGGGCTTTATTTATGCATATGCATACGATAAACACACATACACACACACTTGGTTTCTATTTATTTTCTTCTTTTTTTTTTGTAAAAGCAATCTGAATGAAATCCGATTTGCAGCGCATACTACAAACTCAGCAAATTGGCAGCTGGAAAAGAGGAGGAATTATTGTTGGCCACATCAATCAGCTGGGGAGTTCATGTCCGTCTCTGTGTGAGTGTGTGTTCCTTGTCATGTTTAACAAAACATGAAAATACGTAATAATTAACGATTCATAATTTTTACGAAATTTCTGTCATTTTTGTTTTTTATGCGGCACGTGCTGCCCAAATGGACAACGGCGTCGCTTTGCTAATGAAAATAATCTGTCATCAAAGCCAATGATAAAGCCACCCCCGCGTATGTGCGAACAGGTGTGCCAGAGTTCCCTCAGTACCCCTGCCCGCCCGGTGCCAGCCACGTACAACATCAATTACTGTGCCAAGCTCCCCCCTTGACTTCAAAACTATTAACTCAATATAAGAGTAAATTGTCAGGGCTAAAAAGGGTTGCGTTTGCAGG